AAAATAACAAAGGACGCCAAGTTCTTAAAGTTTTAAGGACGATATAGCTTTTTTTAGGAATGATACCAACAATCAGGGTTTTTACTCGTACATTCAAAGGTTTTTATTCAGTTTCGCCTTATTATTAATTCCAACTCAGTATAGCTAATCCGTATGAGTCATCGGACGGTCACAAGGGTCATAAAACGTGTAGTTATTTCAAGAGGTGAATTACGAAGAGTGGAAATATGAGCAGTTTCTCGAGAAAAAAAAATGGTCAGAAAAATAGTCAGGACCAACCTACTTAGCGCGGTTTTTTGAAATGCCCCATGCGAACAGTGAGCATTAGCCCCATACCACGGCACTCTACCACTAGAATTGAGGCCATGGCCGCTTGGTTCGGTCTTCCTTCGGTCTTCACTTTCCGTGGCTGTAGTCTGATCTCTATCGTTTATATATATATTGAAAAAATAATGTAATAATATGTGATGGTAGATCAGAATGGAAAATTCTGTTAGATACAATGCGAAATAAATTATCATCGGAGAATAATATTCTCGGATATATTATCTATCCCCGCCAGATTTAGGAAAACGTCAGTCTGCCGACGAGTGATTCCCCAGTTCCTACAGATAACTAATACAAAAGACTCGAAGACTGGGTTTCACATTCAAGATAGTAGTAGCAGTAGCAGTACTGGAATCCTATCTCTTTTTACTGTACTGCAGTTCGGTAATTTATTTCGCAACCCAAAGTTCGGTAATTTATTTCGCTAACAATCATTCATGCTAACGATGCCATGCAAATGAACGCATGCTGACGATCATTCATGTAAAAATCAAAAACCGCGCCAAGTACGTTGGTCCTGACTATTTTTCTGACCATTTTTTTTTTCGAGAAACTGCTCATATTTCTACTCCTCGTAATTCACCTCTTCAAATAACCACACTTTTTATGACCCTTGTGACCCTCCGATGACTCATACGGATTAGCTATACTGAGTTGGAATTAATAATAAGGCGAAACTGAACAAAAACCTTTGAATGTACGAGTAAAAACCCTGATTGTTGGTATCATTCCTAAAAAAAGCTATATCGTCCTTAAAACTTTAAGAACTTGGCGTCCTTTGTTATTTCCTTTTTTTTTTAATTTGTCAGAGTCAATTAATAACGAATGAGGTCGTGAAATTTTTTCAACAGCAGCACATTGAAATTTATCAATATTTTTTAAACAACAGCACTTTGAAATTTTGCAACAGTTTTTCAAAAACAGCACTTTAAAATTTTTTCAACATTTTTTTAACAACAGTAATTTGAAATTTTTTCAACATAAATGAATTAAACACAAAATATTTCAGTAGAATAAGTCGTAGAGAAAAATAGAATTCTCTTTACTTTTTCTATAGAATATTTTCTATTGAATATATCAATAGAAATGACGATATACTTATAAAAAGTTCTATAGGAATTCAATAGAATTTTCTAGCGAATTCGCTAGGTTTTCCCATCGAATTTGTTCATACGTGTATTTTTGGTTCAAAGAACACTTTTCTCGCAAATGTCCAATCGTGTATGTTTCATCGCAATGTATGTGAAATGGTATTTTCTCCACGCAAAGTCTGAAGTACAAACAGAGTTCATGATCGAGTCTAGCTCCTATATCTATGTTTGTACTTCAATGGAGTTATTACATTCATGGAAGGTAGAATACAACATACCACGTTCTCTTCCACTGCTATCACTGTGATCAATTGATAATTCCTCATATTCTTTTTGTCAGCAATCAAAGGTACTCTGGAGAAAGTACCAGCAATACAAATCATTTCTGAATTGATGAATTGTTTGAAATATTCAGGATTCCAAATGAGAACAGAATCACATCCGTCATAATCAATTATTAATTCTGTCTTCAATTTCCCACCAGTGTAAGTGAGCCGATCAGCCCATTTCTCATCAGACATAATATCGAAGAATTGGCGGATTCCTTGAGTAATTTTGGGGGGGGTGGGCATTTTTCTTCGTTCTCTGCATCGTTTTTCGTTTGCTTTTGTAAGGAAAGTCTTCCGCAATGTCAGGGTAACTGAAGTGAATGACAATTATTATCGATAAAAAGTACGCGATCTCTATTATAGATTGACATGATTAATTTATGATTTTTCGGGGAACGTTAAGCGAGGGAAAACCCAGGAGGGACAACTATCTATAACGTACTACTTAGCCACTTCTTGATACACCAGAAAAGGATCAGCATGTTTGGATATTTTTTATTTCAATGCGTTGTGAAAATCATTTTTGCTTTGTGCTTTCTCGTCCGGGTCACAGTCATGAGGATGAGTAATTCCAAATCCATTCTCATCTTCAATAACTCGACCAAAACAGTACCCAACGAAACGACATTTATAATATTTGAAGTGAATATTTACTAGAATAAATGATGTGTGACATAAATGAATTAACTGATGCGAATGGATCGGATTTAATGAATGAAAAATATTTCTTATGACCAATGCACAAAAAAAAATTAACCAGAATGCTAGCTACGAAAACTCACTTCTTCTTCCCCTTCTGACCCTCTGATCGATAGCTATACCGATCGACGAATTTTGGCATACTCACAGCTTAATTGAATACTGTATTTATGTTCACAGATATTTATATTAACATATTTCTGTAGATATTTACATATTTACAGAAATGAACAAACTGCTTGACAAATGACTTGCGGGAGTAAATAACTCAGTTTGTTGATATGTTGTTAAAAACAATGGCGATCAATACGAAGGACAGTTGCGGTTTTGCTCAATTAATAAATTATATTAAATTTCTATCGTCACGTATGAAAAAATTTAATAGAAAAAACTAGCGAATTCTCTAGATAAGTTTATTGGATTTCTATAGAACTTTCTACAAGTTGTTAGTCGTTTCTATTGACATGTTCAATAGGAAATATTCTACAGAAAAGGACAATGGAATTCAATTTTTCTATGCAAATTATTCTATTGAAATATGCTTATTCTATAGATTCTATAGCATTTTCTTGGCCCCAATTTCCTTAGTTTTTTCCATTCTATTTTTTTCTTTTCATCAAGAAAATCAAACGAAGAAAATTAGGAAGTTTGAGCCGAAAAAATTCTATAGAAAATATCTCAATAGAATAAGTTGTATAGAAAAATCCAATTCTATCAACTTTTTCTATAGAATACTTCCTATTGAACATGTCAATAGAAACGGCCAAAAACTTATGAAAAGTTCTATGGAAATCCAATAGAAATGTCTAGCGATTTCGCTAGATTTTTCTATTAATTTTTTTCGTGCGTGGTAACACTATGAGAATTCTATTGGAAAACTCTATTCTTTTCGCGCCAATTCTATTGCTAAATGTTTAGAGATTTTGATTTTTTTTTAAGTTTTTGGACATGAATTTTCAAATTTTTCCCCTTCGGATTTTATGATGAAAAATGGATTTTATGATGAAAAACGAAAATTTACGCCCAAGAGTTTCTATAGAAAATTAAAAATTGAAAATTTTCCTATGAAACAACAGGCAGATTCTATCGAAGAGATATATTGAAACTCTTTTTTTATAGAGAAAATCAGGGAAATCTTCATCCTGTAAAACTCTTTCTATTCTGACATTTTCTATAAGAATTTATCGACATGTAACTTTCTTCGTTTCATCCACTTCTGTTGACACTGAAGGAATCAAACGAAAATACTTGGAGAATTTGAGTTGCGGAATTTTTATAGAAGATATCTCAATAGAATAAACTATAAAAAAAATGGATTCTATAGATTTTTTTCTGTGTAATAGTTTCTATAGAACATTCCCATTGAAAAAAAGGCGCAGATAAACTGTGAAATGTGCGATTAGAATCTGTCTAAAACTAATAGGAAGTGTTCCGAATCGAAACATATTTTATTATTGCAGAAAGAAAGTAATTCTTCAAAATTCTGTTAATCTCTTGAAATATTATTGCTTGAACATCTGCTCAGAAAAATCACTCAGTTTTACGATTTTATTACGGTTTTAGAAGCATCGAAAATATTTCAGCAGTTTATTATAGATGTCTACGTCTACGTGTTTTCCCCGTCCATTTCAAATAACATTTTATTATAGAAGTCTACGCCCGTGTAGTTTCCCAGTCTGCTCAAACTAATTTACCAAACGAACACAATAATTTTAAAGTGTCCTCCAGCCTAATCCTCGTCCTCATTTATTATTTAATCCCAAGGGTACAAATTCTCGAACGACCGTTTACTGCAGTGCACTTAGTCGCCTAGAAACCCGACCGTCATACCAAGACGTGGGCCATCGAGGAAGGTCCCAAAATCAGACATTGCTCAGAAGAAGAGATCCTGTGTGAGCAACATTACCAGTAGAATACCAGACGACATTCAGATGGAAGATACATCGTTAATCTTCCATTCAACTCCAAAAAATCATTGATTGGAGAAACCAGAGCACGAGCACTCAAACGGTTCCAATCACTAGAAAATAAATTCACCAGACAACCAGACTTTAAAGAAAAATATTCAGCTATCATCCAAGAGTATCTAGATCTTGGACCCATGGAGATAGCACCAGATAGCGTACCAGGCTCTGAAGGTTTTTACCCTCCACACCATGCAGTATTCAAAGAGACCAGTCAAACCACCAAAGTCAGAGTCGTATTCGACGGCTCTGCAAAATCTTCTTCAGGAATCTTTCTCAACGAAACTCTCATGACATGCCCAACTATCCAAGATGACATCATCACTCACCTCATGAGATTCAGACTCCACATCTATGTACTCAGCGGCGATATTGAAAAAATGTATCGCCAAACCTGGGTACATCCAGCAGACAGAAAATACCAGAAAATTCTATGGAGAGACGATTCAGGAACAATCAGAGACTACCAATTGAACACCGTGACCTTTGATCTAGCAGCAGCCCCATTCCTCGCCATCCGCAGCCTCTAGCAGTTAGCAGATGATGAAGGACAATAATATCCAACAGCATCCACCATCTTGAAACGAGATATGTATGTAGACGACCTCCTCACGGGGGCAAACACCATCGAGGATGCACTCATAATCAGGAATCAGATTACCGAGTTGCTCCAGAAGGGCAATCGCAACATCAGACAATGGGCATCCAACGATCTACGTCTTCTGGAAGGACTCCCAGAAGACAACATCAATAGCAAATTGAACATCGAAACCAATCCAATTCTGAAAACATTGGGCATTCATTGGGAGTCTCAGGAAGATATCATCAGTTATACGCTAGCCAAACTCCCTGAAGAAGCCAGCATGAGAATCATCCTTGCTGAAATAGCGAAAATCTTTGATCCCCTAGGTCTGTTAGGCCCAATCATCGTGGCAGCTCGACTCATTTTACAAGAGTGTTGGCGCCAACAATTAGAATGGGATCAGAAGCTACCAACCACCATCCAATCAGCATGGTCAGAGTACGTAACTGATTTCAATCAAGTTCAGACCATCTCATACCATCGTGGGGTAATTCCTCCAGACACCGTCGATCTCCAACTTCATGGGTTCGCAGATGCAAGTGAAAAGGCCTATGGAGCTTGCATTTATCTCCGTTGCATCACGTCATCAGGTACCATCCAGACAAAATTACTCTGTGCAAAAAGCAAGGTTGCACCCCTCCAAAACGTGGTGCTAGCCAGACTCGAGCTTTGTGCAGCAGTAATGCTATCCCAGCTATACGAGACCGTGAAAGAACGCAGCCACATCGAAATACCAAGGGCGTTTTTCTGGTCCGACTCCACCATCACTCTCCATTGGGTCAACACACCTAGCTATCAGTTAAAAACATTCGTAGCCAACAGAGTGGCTGACATTCAGACTAAAACTCAAGTTAGCACTTGGAGACACGTCCGATCAGAGGACAACCCAGCAGATGCCATTTCCAGAGGCCAATCACCTTCCAACTTCATCAATAATTCACTCTGGAACTATGGCCCAGCCTGGCTATCACTACCAGGATTAGAATGGCCTCCATCAATCATATCTTCACCAGTAGATGATCAAGAAAAAAGAAAACTCTCGTGTCTAGCTACCTGTATCAAGGGTGAATGTCTAGATGATTCATTCATCAAAACCTTCAAAACTATCAGCCATCTCCATCGTGTCATCGCCAAATGTCTTTGATGGAGTCCACACAGCAGACATCAGGGATCAGTGACTGCAGAAGAGCTTCAAGAAGCTCAATTCAGGATCATCAAACTCATTCAGACGATTGCTTTCCCAAAGGACATGCACATATTGAAACACCAAAAATATGTTGAAGAAAGCTGCAGATTGAAACGTCTCAGCCCATTTCTTGACGAGAAATACCAGAATATCTTACGAGTGAGTGGACGTCTCAATCATGCCGATATCTCATAGGATCAGAAACATCCAATTATATTACCACCAGGCCATCCATACACAACGTTAATTATCCAAGATAACCACCAGAAAAATTACCACTCTGCAGTTCAATCAACCGTGTACGCGATCAGATGAAAATTCTGGCCACTCAACATCAAGAACGACACCAAGAAATATATGTACAGATGTACACGGTGTATCCGCAGTAAACCACGAACTGTCACCTATCCAATGGGTGAATTGCCGAACGAACGAGTCAATCAAGCTCGCCCTTTCTATCACATTGGAGTGGACTATTGCGGTCCATTTTATATCAAAGAGAAGAAGCTATGGAACCGCGGGAAGGTAAAGGTGTCCGTGGCTGTTTTCATCTGTCTCGCTGTCAAGGCTGTTCACCTGGAAGTCGTCAGTGATCTCACCACCGACGGATTCATCGCATCCTTGAAGAGATTCATTGCTCGACGTGGAAAATGTCGCAGCATCCATTCAGACAACGAAACCAACTTTGTTGGGGCAAACAATCAGCTCAGGGAGCTATACCGACAAGTCCAATCCGAGGAACACCATCAGAAGGTCCAACGATATCTCACCGATGAGGGCATTGACTGGAAATTCATTCCAGCTCGTTCTCCAAACTTCGGCGGCTTGTGGGAAGCCGCGGTCAAATCGTACAAACACCATATGACTAGAATAGTGGGAGACACTCTGCTCACTTTCGAAGAACTAAATACCTACGTTATTGAGATTGAGGCGATTCTCAATTCGCGTCCAATCATATCAAGCTCATCAGATCCTAATGATCCCATCGCCATCACACCGGGTCATTTTCTCATTGGAGATTCGCTGACCAGTATACCAGTCTGGAATTGGACTGACATTCCGTCCAATCGTTTATCATCTTGGGAAACTGTTCAGAAACTTAAGCAAACATTCTGGACACGCTGGCATAAAGACTATATCAACGGCTTGAACATACGACATAAATGGACAAAGAGGAGTCATGACATCAAAGAAAATACCATCGTAGTCATCAAGGATGACAACCTGCGCCCACTCCGATGACCCATTGGTAGGGTCATGAAATCTCGTGCAGGACCAGATGGCATCACCCGCACTGTCACTATCAAGACAGGTACAGGTATCATTGATCGCAACGTTAGGAAGCTCGCGATTCTCGTACCAAACGAACAATGATTTTGTCAAGCATTTGAATGGACTTCTAAAATTTACTTTTCTTTTGATCGCTTAATCTCTCAAAGGGGGCAAGATGTTCCGAATCGAAACATATTTTATTATTGCAGAAAGAAAGTAATCATTCAAAATTCTGTTAATCTCTTAAAATATTATTGCTTGAAGATCTGCTCAGGAAAATCACTGTTTTACGGTTTTATTACGGTTTTAGAAGCATCGAAAATATTTCAGCACTTTATTATAGAGGTCTACATCTGCATGTTTTCCCCGTCCATTTCAAATAGCATTTTATTATAGAAGTCTACGCCCGCGTACTTTCCCAGTCTGCTCAAACTAATTTACCAAATGAACACAATAATTTTAAAGTGTCCTCCAGCCTAATCCTCGTCCTCATTTATTATTTAATCCCAAGGGTACAAATTTTCAAACGACCGTTTATTGCAGTGCACTTAGTCGCCTAGAAACCCGACCGTCATAAACCAATTTCCAAAAACGGACCCTCTCTCTCTCTCCTAACCAGTCTCCACCCTCAACTCCTACCATTTTCCTCATCGACCAATGAGTATTGGCCTTACAAAATTGTAAACCCAATGGCCAATGAAAATCCACCAGATCCTCCCTCTCAATCTCCCAACTTACTTTCCTAAAATTTGCTCTCTTAAAAATCAGTTATCTTTCAACTATCGAGCAGACCAGTCGAAAAATTAAAAACGTAAAATCATTTCGTGAAATATCACTCGTCGATATTCTAACATATCTCTCGTGTAAAATAGTTTGTCATAAAGTGTAAAGTTCTTTCTTAACAAGTGTCTATGAATAAATATATTTTTTAAACTATCAGGTGCTATGTCATTTAAATAAAAACAGTGAACCCAAACCAAACCTCGTTAATATTAACTCCCTAAAAATTTGTTTGTGTCATTAAAAGGCTCAACAGGAAGGTCAATGGAAATTTAATAGAATTTTAATTTAATTTGCTAACTATTGTAATTATGGGTTTATTTCATGCATGATGAAGCTTACAAGAAAATGACGATATATTTTTTTTGTACACTGTTAAAAAATCCAATAATACAGTTTCTTTTCATTCTCCATTTATCTCGAAATGACTTTTCACGAGAAAGTATCAAGACATTTGCTCAGCACGTATGAAAAAATTCAAAAGGAAAACCTAGTGCTTTCTTTAAGAAATTCGAATCGATTTTTTATGCCAATTCTGGAATTCTTGGATATTCTATAGGAAAAGTAAATAGATTTGTATTTCTGTTTGAATTTTTATCTTGAAATTTTGCCTATTGAATTTTTCAGGCATGAATTTTCCAAGTTTTTTTCATTGAAATTTTGTTAAGTAGAACGAAATGAAATATAGCTTTAAAAAACTTGGAGAATTCACGCCTAAAAATATCGATAGAAAAAAATAGAATATAATACAATAGAATGGAATAGAATGGATGAAAAAAACGAATAGAATTTTTCAACAGGAATTCAATAGAATTGCTATAGAATTCTTATAGAGTTCCAATTGAAAATTCAATAGAATTTCTTACAGAAAGCAAAAGAATTTTTTCATACGTGAAGTAACTCATAAAATGTACAACAAAAAAACTTCCTTGAAATTTTTGAATAAAATTATCACATTCTCAGCGGGTACTAGCTGAAGGAGCTACTATTATCTTTATAAATTGCTCCTCAGTTCGTCTAGGTTGTGGATTGGGGAGAAGCCTCTGAGCTTGGAATTGAGAATGTTGAAGATCCAGTCATCTGGAATACTGGCTTGCATATTTTAGGGCTCCTAGGTCAAGATGTTCGTCCTGAGGCTGCTATGGGGTCTCTCGACGATTCTACTTGCACTTCAGTCTTCAAATATCAGCCAACTTCTTCTCAGGTTTCAGGTACTCGTTTCTCGCGTTCTGGTGGAGCAAGAACGGTGGATACAAGTGATATGTATGAAAGAGCAACCTCGGGGCAAGCTCCTTAATTACTTCCACAGACTCATTAATCCCACAATCAGTCCAAGAATCACTCTATTCTGATTAAAATATCGAAAATTACATCTGATGAACATTAATCAATCAATCAAACCATTAATGAATAATTTGTGGATTAATTGATTTGGAGTAATACTCACCTTCGTTCAAATTGGAGTAATCCCACATAAAGAGCACAATTTTTCTCGTTACTTATTAATTTCACTAGTAAATGAGAGCTTTTCAATCAAAAAATATAAATTTAATTGTTTTTAATCTCCCCACAATGGGAAACGTAACCTATATGGATAACTCAACATTTTTAGTGTAGAACGGCCTTCAGATTTAAATGGCCCACCGAATTTTCGTCGATCAAAACCCCGTCGATAACTTGACGCTTTCGGCAGTATGACCCCTACCCGTACTAAATGTACTACAACGTGGTGCGGGGATTCCGCGAGATGGCGGCAGCGCCGAATTATCGAGTAGGTCGGTCAAGTCAACAGCACAGCAACAGTCGCAGGCTCGCAGGCCAACCGCCTGTCGAATGAGTCGACAGTGGGATAGCATCCGCCGGTTTTTAAAATAATTTTTTAATGATTAATCAAACAATTGATTTTTGATGTGTCATTCTCAGAGAACGAAGGGGGGGGGGGGGGATTTTTTNGATTTTTGATGTGTCATTCTCAGAGAACGAAGGGGGGGGGGGTGGATTTTTTTTCCGACCCTTCAGCCCCCAAATCGGATTGTGACGGATCCCAGCGGAGAGGGGAATTTTTTTTGAACCTTCTGACCCTAAATCAGATAGTTGAGTGTATATGGGGACGGGGGGGATTTTTTTTAGCCTTGTGACCCTAAATCGAATCGTTGAGGGTGTGATAGGAAGATTTTTTTTTTACCATTCTGACCCTTAATCGCATTACGGGAAGTCCAAGGGGGGGGGGAATTTTCTTTCTGACGTTTTTGACCCTAAACCGAATGGCGAAGGGTCCGAGGGGGGGGGGAAATTTTGTTCTGACCCATCTGACCCTAAATCGAATTGCGAAACATGCGGGGGGGGTGGGGCAATTTTTCCTGAGCCTTCTGACCCTCAATCACATTGTGGTCATTCCAAAGGGGGGGGGGGTCATTTTTCCTGATCCTAAATCGGATAGTTGAGTGTGCGGGGGGGGGGGATTTTTGGGTACTTTTTTGAAGAACCAAGGGGGAGGGGATTTCCCCCCCCCCAAATCGGATTGAGGAGGATACAAGGGGTGAGAGGAATTTTTTTCTGACCCTTCGGATCCTAAATCGAATTCCGAAGGTCTGAGGAGCGGGGGCCTTTTATTCCCAACACTTCAGACCCCAAATCGAATTGCGGCGGATCCGAGCGGTGAGGGGAATTTTTTTCTGACCCTTCGGATCCTAAATCGAATTCCGAAGGTCTGAGGAGCGGGGGCCTTTTATTCCCAACACTTCAGACCCCAAATCGAATTGCGGCGGATCCGAGCGGTGAGGGGAATTTTTTTCTGACCCTTCGGATCCTAAATCGAATTCCGAAGGTCTGAGGAGCGGGGGCCTTTTATTCCCAACACTTCAGACCCCAAATCGAATTGCGGCGGATCCGAGCGGTGAGGGGAATTTTTTTCTGACCCTTCGGATCCTAAATCGAATTCCGAAGGTCTGAGGAGCGGGGGCCTTTTATTCCCAACACTTCAGACCCCAAATCGAATTGCGGCGGATCCGAGCGGTGAGGGGAATTTTTTTCTGACCCTTCGGATCCTAAATCGAATTCCGAAGGTCTGAGGAGCGGGGGCCTTTTATTCCCAACACTTCAGACCCCAAATCGAATTGCGGCGGATCCGAGCGGTGAGGGGAATTTTTTTCTGACCCATCTGACCCTAAATCGGATAGTTGTGGGTACGATGAGAGGGGAGGAGGGATTTTTTCACCCTTCTGACCCTTAATCGCATTGTGGGAAGTCCAAGGGTGGGGGGAATTTTTTTTACCCTTGTGACCGTACGTTGAACAGTGAAGGGTCCGAGGAGTGGGGCAATTTTGTCTGATCCTTCTGACCCTCACTAACATTGCGGTACGTCCAAGGGGAGGGGGGGTAATTTTTCCTAACCCTTCTGAACCTTAATCGCACTGCGGGAAGTTCCCGGGAGCGGGAGGAATGTTTTTGTGACCTTTCTGACACTAAATCGAAAGGCGAAGGGTCCGAGGGGGAGGCGAAATTTGTTCTGACCCATCTGACCCTAAATCGGATGGTTGAGGGTACGATGAGAAGGGCGGAGAGATTTTTTTGACCCTTCTGACCCTTAATCGCATTCTGGGCGATCCAAGGGAGGGAAATTTTTTTGTGACCCTCTGCTCCTTAATTGCATTGTGGGAAGTCCTAGAGGGGGGGGGAGGGAATATTTTTAACTGATTCGTCTGACCTTAAACCCAATTTCGATGGTACGAAAGGGGGGAGGGACTATTTTCTGACCATTCAGACCCCAAATTGGTTTGTGGAAGATCCGAGGGATGAAGAGAATTTTTTCTCACCCTTCTGGCCCTAGACCGAATTTCGAAGATACAAAGGGGGGGAGGGACTATTTTCTGAACATTCAGACCCCAAATTGGTTTGTGGAAGATCTGAGTATTAAGGAGAAATTTTTTTCTGACCCTTCTGACCCTAAATCAGACAGTTGACGTGGCGATGGGTGGAGGGGAATTTTGAGTTCTTTAGGGAACGAGTGGCGAGGGGAATTTTTTTTTCTGACCGTCAATCGCTTTGCGGGAAATCTGCGAAGGGGGATGAATTTTTTCCTAACCCACAATCGGATTGTTAAGGGTACGGGGCGGGGGATTTTTTCTTGATCCTTCTGACCCTTAATCGCATTGTGGGAAGTGCAAAGGGGGGAGAGGAGGATTTTTTTT